TCTAGCAAGACAGACTGTGTTCTTGCCTTCTGAAAGAAGAGGTTAAGTCCTTGAGAGCTTAGTATTGCTAGAGTATGAGCACTGAATAATAGACAACACCCAAGGAACGTGGGACATGTTCACAAAGTGCCCCACATCACCATGCTGCATTAAGGAATGAGTTTGTAATTCTGCCCAGTGTCATGCTATGCTAGCCAGTACAGAGGAACAGACTTTGATCATGAGGTCGCACTGATGGATGAAAGAAGGTTCCCCACTTCTTTAGAAAGGGGTCTGTTTGTAGGACTTAGGAGAAAGCAGTACTTTGTACATGCATTAGCATAGCACAGAATGAAGCCATTTTCCAAACAGACTTGTATTATCAGATGTGGGAGTGCTCTGGAAGCTATCTGGTAATGGAAAACTGCTCTGATAAAGTCAGCCCAGTCACTGATCCCATCATAAGATGACAGGTTTGACTGATACACTTGCTTTAAGAGAAATCTCAGTGTTGCACCATAACTGCACCAGCAGCTGCAGTTGAGAACTCTAAAGTCAAAGCAACTCTCCAAGGAGACTTCGTCTCAGCCACTTGTACGCAGACTTGCAAGGAAAAGAAGCCACAGCCAGCCAGTGGAAGGTGGCAGCAAATAGCAAGACACCACAAAAAGCCCCACAACACTACGGCCCAAAAGCAGGGTTAACATTATTCATGTTCATAATAATCTGTCTGAAACGGATCTTGTTTAAAACCTCAGCAACCTTTCTCAAAAAAACTGCTTGGGAGAAAACTGTGAAGAATGCAAGTCTCTCTCAGCCCATGGCAACAAGCCCAATGGCACTAGGCAGCAATAGAAAGTCTGCAGATTACCAACTAGAGCCTGTTGTTTATGAAGAACAGATCACAGCAGGTTAAGTGCAGCATGGAAAGGGAATGGCATTTATGCAAAATACAGCATAACAGCAAAAAGGAGAGAGCAAGTCTTGGGAACAGAAACTGGTTTTAGTTGTGTCCAATTTTGCACAACAGTACATGACCTCAGTTTTATACCAAATTATATTAAACAAACATTTTTATGTTGTAAATAACTCAAGTTTTATCTGTGTGCTTATATTAGTGTGGGCTAAGTGCGAAGAGCTTCTGTTACGGGAAGTAATATTCCCCACACAGACTGAAATAAAGAAATTCTAGAGCAATTCATCAGGTCTGCTCCCATTTACAGCCATCCTATCACGCCTGCAATGCCACCACCTCTTCCACGCTGCAAATCCATGCCACTTTTTTAGATATTTAAGCAGTGCTAAAAAGGGATTTGGTAAGATCTTTGCAATACACCAACTGCCAGAAAAAGGGAAGCAGTAGACGTGGTGCACAGAAACAGTTATGGAAACACACACACACACACACATCCCCCCAGTGAACTGACAGGTACCTGCTCCTCTTCAGGCAGTACGCAAAACCCATTATCACTAGCCATGCCTAGGAAAACTGGCCATCCAAGCAATAGAATCAGTGGCAACATTTCTTTTCCATCTAGATTTTACAGACAATGAAAAAAGACAGATTATGGAAGTGTTCAAGACACATAGGATGTCTCTCTAACAAAGGGTTTAAATGCAAGTCAAATCAGAGTCTGTCTTCAGGCCCTCCTCCCTCTCACCCCCGTTACCACATCTGTTTGGTCTCAGAGAGAGTTGTCCTGCAGGGAAGCAGAAGGAGATAAGACGAGCATGGTCTCCCCTCTGCAGCTGCTACCCCATTCAGCACATGCTGCCAGTCACAGAACAGCAGAGCAGCTATGTTCTCTTCACCACCCTACAGCCCCATCCAATTTGTGGTGGATCCAGCCCCAAATTCACACGGTTTTGTACTGCATGCAATGCCAGCAGCTGGAAAGGGCAGACTTGGGCTGCTTTCAGATGAACAGCCTCACATAGTGCTGCTTTCAGTGTTTGTCCATAGTGATTGCAATTTAGTTTCTAATTGAGGTGGATGACAAGCCACAAATGCAACCGTTCAATCTGGTTAAAATCAAGCAAGTTCAGTGAACATACAGTCATCACTACCAAAGGCAGCTCCCAAACCTGCACTGTTCGTGTTTTTCACTCCTGCAAAACTTTCAAGAATTGCCAACAATTAATCAGACAAAAACACAGATCTTCTGAAGTCTGATGGCAAGGACAATAATGTGGGCCTGAACACCTACTGTGTATGCATCTGCAAAAAAGAGGCTCAGCTCAAGACCTGAAAGCAATTCATCCACATCTTGAGTGAGTGCTATAACAATTAAGACATTTGATATTCTAAGTATATGCATGCATCTTTGTTTCCCCTCTGATCAGAATTTTTCTTCTACCCAAAATACTCCTCCAACAACAGTTACACAGAAGGGTGAAGTTGTTGAAAAAATTTCCCTAGCCAACTGTACATACAGGGTACATCCTGAAGCATATGCAGCTGCTTAGATTCTCATTGGGATGGGGATTCAAGGTTAAAGACCATGGTGGGTATTTCTCCTAGAAACTTCGTTGAGAGATGCTGCTCTGTTATGGACTGTTGGATGGAATAACTAACTCTTTGGGTATTGAACCAGAATAAACTAGCAACCGTTCAGAGCTGACTTCAGCAAGGCCAGTTCTTGAAGTCCCTGAGGCCCACACAGCTTCTCTGCAGAGTAGAACCTGGGGTGCCAATTCTCTGCACAAGAGATGCAGTATCCAAACCACCTCCACCAGATGAGATCTATTCAAGAGTTGCTGGAAGCAAGAACTGTTTAGACTGTTCACCAAAATTCACATTTTTACACTCCCTTTTACAATCAAAGTTTAATTAATTTGGACCAGATGATAAAGGAAGTATTTGTCTCAAATGCAGGTTGAAACCAGCTAGCTTCCTCAGACATTGTTTATCATCCACATCTTACGCAGGGACAATGACCTTAAATGCTGCAATATAAATGACGAAGCCGGTTCCTGGGGTATGTGGAACATGGGGTTACTTTTACAGTCCAAGGAATGATATGAATTTCAGTTAATTCCAGCTACAAAGGGATCAGAGGCTTCCTTCATCATGCCAGGTAAAACAAAAGCATTTTAGTGTTCACAGATAGGACTGAACAGAGGAAGAATGTGAAGTATCACTTGGCTGTCAGCTGAAAACACACAGTTTTTGTAAGCAGCTTCATGCTGTCCCTCCACTGGCAACCCACACTGGCCAGGGAACGTGCAGAACACAGGCCCAGCAACTGCTCCACAATACAGACATTGGTACCAACCTTCCAAATAAACCTGAGACAAAGCTTTATCAACTGCACTCTAAGTCCAGCTTATTAAGATAAAAATGTCTCCTGCATCCCCTACTTTACTCTCCAGTTTACTCTCCAGAGGTTAGCAGACAGCTGACAAACATCAGAAAGTCAGCTTTCCTTGCCCCTTTTTTTTGAACTATTAAGATGACACACTTCGTTGGCCCACTGTGCTAGGTTTTAAGTATTCCCCTCCAGTGCCAACATAACCTGAGCAGCTCTACATAAAATCAAATTTCAACAACAGAGTGCAGTCAGATTGCAAGAAACTGCAGCCACCTTCTCTCGTACCGCCACCTTCCCAAGATGGTCCACACTGTACATAAATATGATGCTTCTCCAAAGTAGAACGCAAAGTTGGCAGGATGGATAAAACTTTTCCCACTTCACCATTAAAAACAAAAACAAAAAGAAACACTTCCACACACCAGATAATGGGAGGGTAAGGCTGAGAGGGGGAACAAAAATTTTTGGTGAGCTATCACAAAAAAATGAATCTTTCCTCTCTTCTTCCCCAGGCATCACAAAGTGTTTGAACCAATCCCAAAACTTTTCGTCTCATCTTTTTGAAGCCAATACTGACCACACGTTGGTTGGTTGGTTGTTTTTTGGTTGTTTTTTTTTACTGTCAGAAGACATTGCAAACAATAACTCCTGAGCCTCAAAAAAATTTTAGGATTCAAGATCTCTAGATCAGTGCTAGATATAGGGAAGCTAAGGCAAAAAAAGTTGTGTCATTTACATAAGTTCACAAAGTAGAGTTCATCGGCATTGCATGATTTTGGCTTTTGCGATGCGTGCCAAACTGAGCAGATAGCATATCCCTCCTACCTGTTAGGGAACTGCACATGAGCCATTTTTAATACCCAGTTCAATTAGCACAGTATGTTAGTGGTAACAGAGCCAAGCATCACTATTTCCACCCTGCCTGGGCAAACTACTCTTCCTCTGAAAATTTTCTTCATGAGGGCTTTCCTTTTTGCCATAACTACTGCAACTTCTCTGGAATTCTGTAGGACCTCTGCCAGCCCAACTATTTCTGAAAGATGCTCAGTGTCCAGGACTTACTATTCATTTTTCAGATATTAAAAGGCCAAACAAGCATAAGCCTCCTCCGCTACCCCTGCCTGAAAAAATGCTGCTTCTGTTGAGAAGCAGTTATGAAACAATATGCAATCCCAGCACATTTAGTAGCAAGCGTACAGTGAAGAATCAAAACCCCAAACAAAGCAAAGCAGTCTCATCACCTCTCTGCCAGACCCCCAAACGACAACAGGGCACAGAACAGGAAACAGGAGTCTGTCACTACCAAGCTCCCTGCAGAGGTAAGAGGCTCAGACACCTCTTTCTGGGATAGATGAAGCACAGGTAACAGCAAAAGAAGCCTGGTCCACCCTGTTCTGTGTAAGCCACAGCTCTCTGCAGCTCATCTTCATGGAAAAATTGACCTCCCCTGCAACTTTTTCTTCTTTCTGTGCAATGCTGGAGATTGATGCCATTTGTTTCTGTGCTACATTGGAGGTGGAGGCCATTACATACTTATGTGTCTTTTAAGGTATGGTGACCAAATCAAAGCTTCCAGTTGGTTAAACAAGTCCCCAGCTTTCAACACTTTCACCTGAGTAGCTGATGCTATCATTACTTGCCTCACACCTTAACAGTGAATCTCCTGCAGCCACTGGGAGCCTGGCTAAAGGATGCCAACAAAAATATTACCTGCGTGAATGATCCATCCTCATTGCATTCTGGGATGAAGACTGCTTCCTGGGGCTTCTTTGCCTGTTCCAGTGCTTGAGCTCTCTCTAATCGACACTTGCTTTGGCCAGCATCTACAAAGGGAAAAGCAAAACCCACTTAGACTGCAAGCACTGTTTGCCTCTTCAAAATCTACTAAATGCGTCACACAGCTGCAGGGGGGAAAAACTCCAAACAAATATAAGGCATCAAGGACCATTACCCACACATTAACAAGGCAGCTATGGAGTTAGCACTTGTGATCTCAAAGAAAAATATGAACCTAGACAATCAAACTACAAGCCAGTTACTGAAGAACTGCCTAATTTCCTAGGCAATCATTTTCTGGTCCAAGAGCTCTAGAAGCTTCTTCCAACAAGTGCTAGAGCACAATGTCCACACAGCGAAAGGCCTTCCTGGAGGCAGTTGTGTGTGTTAATATTAACAGCCTGAAACTGGATAGCTGAGCATAAGCCAAGTAATTCAGGCCCAGAATGAGCAATGTGGAAGAAGGGATGGCCCCAGCAAAGCTTCTCTGAGCAGCTCTCCCAGTAAGATGCTAAAACAACCAGCCACCCATCTGAACGTCCACCTTTGTGTGGTTCAGATAAGGTAGATAGGCCATTGCTTTCCTGAAACTCAGCTTCTACCTCTAGTCGCAGTGCTTACAGCCAGGTGTCCATTATACTTTCTCACATCAGTTACTCACTTTGCTGTCAAGAAAAATAGCATTGCTCTGCAAGCAGAGTTCTAAGGGATCAAGATCTCAGCTCTGCACTTCTTTCAGATGATGGCAGCACGTAGTACAACCTTAATCCCTTCCAGGTCCAGCTCACTGTTACAGAGCATAGACCCAGATAAGCCTAACACTGATGACTGACTGGTCAAAGATGAGAGGTCTGCCCTGAAGAGATACAGATTGACTCAGAGTTTACATTCAAAAACTTGATGTCTAACAGTACTGCTGTTCAGTCTAGAAATACAAGAAAAACAGCAGACATCTGTTTCTATGGGACTGACACAGGGACTAGCACCTTCTTCGTTTTCCTATGAATGCACTGACAAAGATTTTCAGTGCAGAAACTGCCAAATCTGACCAGAATCTTTCAGCAGCACCACAGAGTGCTTAAGTTTAAATCCCCATTCTACCAGGCACAGAAATCACATTGGTTAACAAAACAATTCCACTGGATCCCTGAAGATCCCATATGCTGCTTCACAGTTCACATGAACTTCAGAATCATTAATACTAGCACTGAATTTGAAAGCCAGTCTGGTTCTCCAATCAACTGAATTCCTGTTACATGTCAATAGAAGCCATTTCCAACTAAGCACATTTATATGCAGAAACCAATGACAATGCTTTAAACAGTTTTGATAAAGACATAGACCAAAGCTTTCAAGCAGAGTACTTCATTGACAACAGCTGATGACTCAAGAGACTAAGTTTCCAGTTTGCCAGTGCAGTTTAATAGTTTGGGTTGGAAGGGACATTTCAAGGTCATCTAGCCCAATACCCCACCCCATCCAACCTGACCTTGAATGTTTCCAGGGATGGGGCACCCACCACCTCTCTGGGCAGCCTGTTCCAGTGTTTCACTACCCTCATCATAAAAAATTCCTTCCCTCTAGTCTAAATCTACCCTCTCTTAGCTTAAAACCATTACCCCTTGTCTTAGCACAACAGTCCCTACTAGAAAGTTTGCGTCCATCTTTCTTGTAAGTCCTGTTTAAGTACTGAAAGGCTACTATAAGGTCTCCCTGGAGCCTTCTCTTCTCCAGGCTGAACAACCCTAATTCTCTCAGTCTGTCCTCAGAGCATAGCTGTTCCATCCATTGGATCATTTTTATGGCCCTCCTCTGGAAGTGCTCCAAAAGGTCCATGTCTCTCCTGTGCTGAGGGCTCCAAAGCTGGACGCAGGACTCCAGCTGGGGTCTCACTAGAGTGGGGCAGAGGAACAGAATCACCTCCCTTGACCTGCTGGGCATGCAGTTTTTGACACAGCCCAGGATACATCTGACTGAGCTGTGAGCACACATTGTCAGCTCATGTCCAACTTTTCATCCACCAGCACCCCCAAGTCCTTCTCGGCAGGGCTACTCTCAATCCCTTCATCCCCCAGTCTATTGATACCGGGGGTTGCCCCAACCCATGTGCAGGACCCTGCACTTGGCCTTGTTGAACCTCACAAGGTTCACAGGGGCCCACTTCTCAAGCTCATTCAAGTCCCTCTGGGTGGCATCATGTCCCCCAGGCATGCCAACTGCTCCACTCGGCACCATCTGCAAACTTGCTGAGGGTGCACTCAAATCCTGCTGTCTATGTCACTGAAAGATATTAAACAGCACTGGTGCCAACACCAACCCCTGAGCGCTGCCACTTTTCACGGATCTCCATGTGGACATCGAGCTGTTGACCACTACCCTCTGGATGCGACCACCCAACCAATTCCTCATCCACCAAACAGTCCACCCATCCAATCCGTATCTCTTCAATTTAGAGAGAAGGATGTTGTGGGGGACCGTGTCAAAGGCCTTACAGAAGTCCAGACAGATGACATCCATAGCTCTTCCCTTGTCCACTGATGTAGTCACTCCATCACAGAAGGGCACTGGGTTGGTCAGGCAGGACTTGCCCTGGGTGAAGCCATGCTGGTTGTCTTGATTAACCTCTGTCTTCCACATGCCTTAGCATAGCTTCTAGGAGAATTTGCTCCATGATCTTCCCAGGCACAGAGGTGAGGCTGACAGGTCAGTAGTTCCTGGGGTCCTCCTTTCTGCCCTTTTCAAAAATGGGCACAATGTTTCCCTTTTTCCAGTCACCCGGGACTTCATCTGAATGCCCTGACTTTTCAAATGTGATAGAGAGTGGGTTGGCAACTACATCATCCAATTCCATCAGGATTCTGGGATGCATCTTGTTGGGTCCCATAGGCCTATGTATGATCAGGTTCTTCAAGTGATCACAAACCTGATCTTCTCTTATAGTGGGAGGGATCCCACGGGGACCCCAGTCTTGTAGTCCATCTGCTTGAGAAGTGTAGGAAGAGAGATTGCCTGTGAACACTGAGGCAAAAGAGTTGAGTAACTCAGCCTTCTCCTCATCTGTTGTTACCAGTTTTCCAGTCTTGCTCATCAGGGGCATATGCTTTCTTTGACCTTCCTCTCCTGGCTGATGTACCTGTAGAAGTCCTCCTCATTATTCTCTGCATCCCTTGCCAAGTTCAGCTCCAGCTGTGCCTTGGCCTTCCTGACACCATCCCTACACAACCAGGCAGCATCCCTATACTCTTCCCAGGACACCTGTCCCTGCTTCCACTGCCAGTGCATTTCCTTCTCGCTCTTTAGTTTGACCAGCAGGTCTTAACTCAGCCATGCTGGTCTCCTGCCTTCCTTTCCTGATTTCTTACACCTGGGGATCGAGAGCTCTTGCACTCTAAGGAAAGCATCCTTACAGATCTGCCCACTCTGTTGTGCTCCCCTGTCCCTGAGGACTGTTTCCCAGGGGGTCCTACCAACTAACTCCTTCAACAGCTGGAATTTTGCTTTCCTAAAATTCAGGGTCCTGACTTTATTCTTCACCTGACCCTTATCCCTCAGGGCTGTGCACTCCACCACGGCATGATCACTGCAGCCCAGGCTTCCTCCAGTCTTGATGTCACCAGTCAGCTCACCTGCACTGGTGACCAACAGGTCCAGTATCACATCCCCTCTGGTAGGGCTGTCTATTACCTGGCTTAAGAAGTTATATTCAATACGCTCCAGGAGTTTCCTGGACTGCCTACAGCTCGCCACACTACTTTGCCAGCAGATGTCAGGGTGGTTGAAGTCCCCCAGTATCCAGTCATGGGATTAATCCCACCAAATTTCAGTAATGGCAACTAGGTCACAGCTTTCTAGCAGCATGGTGGCTTCCAACTCCTCCTGTTTGTTGCCCATGCTGTGTTAATTGGTGCAGAGGCGCTTCAGCTTTGCTGTTGGCTGTGTTACCTTCTTAGAGGAATACCCCTTAATTCCTTTGAAGTATTCCACTGGTGTTTCCTTGTTGGCTCCTACTACCTCAGGAGCCCCCGGATCATCTCTGACAGACTTCAAGTGTGCTGCCGTGCAGCCAGCACATCTCAGTGCAATAGGCTGAAGCCCCTTGCTAGCACCCCGTCCCTCTAACCTTGGCATGTCATCCCACAGAGCTTGTCATAGGCAAGCCTGATATTATGGCCCTCCCCCTTTATTTTAAACGTATCACTTTACTCCAAGAAAGATTTTGCAAGTCATCTGAAATTATGGAAATTAAACTCTTCTCTTTGGAAAAAGTCATTATTCATAGCAATAGTGTTCAGCACAGATGTTTATAGCTTAGTCACCAGGTTACAAAGCAAGAGTGCCTAAATCAACTCTGCCACTGACCCATTGAGTGACTACAAGTCAGTAACCTCACCTCTCACCTCCCTATGACCTTGTGTCGCTTCTGATCCTATGTCACTCATCTTTCAATTAATTTTTTTGCGGGGTGTTTGCACAATACCCTTAGCACATGGAGCTTTGATCTCAGGTGGACCTATTATGAGCTTGTATAAAGAGCAAGACTTTCAGAATGAAAAGATTTTCTTGAATAAAATATACACTGCATTTAAAAAAGCAGTATTTTTTCTAATTAGCTGTGACAACCTCTAAGCTGGAATTTCCTTTTTCCCCCCTGCTTGCCATCGTGACCAGATGATCAGATCTTGTTTGCACACCTCCTCTGGAGGACAGTCCTGCCAGCAATACGGAGCCTTCCAATATCTGCTCATTCTTTCAGCTGAAAAGGAAGCACTTGCAATGCTGTTAACTCAAACACCTAACTACAACCTGCAGATCTCCTGTTCAAGCTTAAAAGTCTAATCTGGCTTGGCTTGGCATGACACAGGACATTATTACAAAACCAGATGTTGTGGCTGCTCCTTCTGTTTTCTTAGCTAGCTGTCCGACTAAAAACACCTTCAAGTTCTGCTTCACAGGAGACAACTAAGTAGCAAAAACAATTAGCATACATTATGCAGATCTGCATGTATAACGGAAAAAAAAAGTTGTGAATTTCTCACGTGACAATCAA